TTAAAAAACAATAAAAAATAAGTTATCTAGTTTACGAAATATAATTATTACTTATTACATACCTTAAATTAATGGAATTTTCTTAAAAAAAATATTTATAAATTTTGACACATACGTCAGATTTTATGAATTGTTAAATAGTTTCCTTTAATTCGAAAAATAATCTAGACGTATATCACTCAACCTATAAATTTAATCTGTCAAACTATGCTCAGTAAGTTTTTTATTTGATTTTAAAAAATAATTAAAAATAAAACCCCTCGACCGCTACGCGGTCTCGTGATTTTATTAAATTATTTTGCATTCAACATTTTCCAACAAAAACCAAACAAAAAACTACTGAGCCTAGTTTAACCGATTAAATTCATAGTTCTCGTGATATAATATATGAATAAAATCTGTAATATTTGGATTTTTTAAATAAAATTTTATATTTGTCGATAAATTATAATAGATAATAAATTGCACCACTTTAATTTGAATTATCTCAAATAGGGGGGCCTGTAGGCGGGTGAGGCGACAGGAAAAACTAACTTTTTTTCGCCAACTTCAATTTAAATTCTGTTTGCGCCGAACTTGTTTATTTAATGTCCCATGTCTAATAAGTTATTAGTAATAACTGAGATATTGGTATACATACAATCCACCAGCCGCCACTGGTGCCAACATTCTTATGCTTTTTATTTCAATTAATATAATATCCTCAATTATACTTAATAAAAAAATAGCAAAAAAAAACATTTTAAATTTCCTAAATTATTTATAAAAAAAACCCTTAGGGACACGTGTTACTTTTGGTCAATTAACTTAAAATTTTGCAAGAATTTGTTCTTTTAAATTTGGAACTAATGTGTGGGTCAAGCCAAATTAATTAAAAAAAAATATTCAGGGTGTTTAAATTTATACAGGGTATTTCCAATATCTTTGAATTTTGACCTGATACAGCTAAACCAATCATGGATTTCTAAGTTTACGTGTCCGAGCGTTTACCTGTGATATTTTCACCTCCCTACAGTGTAATGAGATGCGTCTTTTTGGCTTATAATTATATAAATTAAGTAAAGTGACCAGATTCTGTCTAAAAATAGATGGACATTTTGTATGCGATGCACTTATCGAAATCATTAGTTAGCATTTTATTGTTATAAACTAACATTCTTTTACCGCCTTACGTAAGTAGGCTACTTCCAACTATTATTACTGAATAAGCAAATATACTTATGATGTGTAACAACGAATTATCGACATATAGAAATAAAGTTGATAGTGTACAACAACGACGTGCTTAATTTTCAACACCCCAATACTTCAGGCATTACATGAGTTTACCTTAATTACAAAATAGATAGGTACAATGCAAATTGTAAATTTGACGTTACTTAATTATTGTTGATTATGTCATTTTTGTAATTAAGGTTAATTTACACAAAATGTCCCTCTATTTTTTGACAGAATCTGGTCACTTTACTTATAAGATAAAAAGGCCGTCCTATAAGAGGGCAGGATAGTCAATACTTACAAATTGGTTACATTTCCGCACCCAACAACAATACATTTCACAACCATTAACACGTTTTATCACTTTTAATGTGCAAAAATGTATTTAATAATTCAATAATTATGATTAATATCAATAATTATGATATTGATTCGGTATTGTAGCTCTAGAGGGCAGTGGTGGGAGAGTTTCCCATATTCTTACTACACAGGTAAGTGGTAAGTATAATATATTATATATATATATATATATATATATATATATATATATATATTAGGGTGATTCATTTCCGCAAAGTTATTTTTTGTTTCGGTGCTCAAGCAAAATATTAATCTACCTATAGAAAAAAAAAATTCACCAAGGTAGAGCTCTTAATATCAATTTTAAGTACTTGCAGTTTAAATTTAAAGTTTTCCCATTTAAAATGCATGTAAAAAAATGCTTTTTTTTCAAATTTCTAATGCTCGCCCGCTTTTTACAATATTGTGAATCGGTTTTATGGACCTTATAGGGAATTTCACGCTCTTCAAAATTGTCTTTGTGTTTTTGTGTGTAACTCGTAGTGGTTCGCCAGTAGGACTAATCAAAGTTCAATTTTTTGAATGAACATTTTTTTTTTATTTTTTTTAACAATTCGCAAAAAATAGTAAAAAAAAGAGCTGAATCGTAAAAAATAGTCTTTTAACAAATATTTGATGAATTTACGGCCATTTTTATATCTTAAAACGTAAGTAATTGATAAATATTAACCAATTATGCTATTTAAATTAAACTTTCTTATTTACTATCGATATAATTATCTACAACAATAACTTTTTCAGAGTTATTATGATTTCTGACTAAAAATAAATATAAACATAACACATCAATTCATAAAAAAAAACAACAAAACTTTAATCAAAACAAATAACAGATTACATTATTAGATAATATATTGCAAATTTAATAAAAATCTCAATAGTCATAAATAAACAAGTTGATAAATATTAAATTATTTCGACTTTTATACAAAGCAAATTAAGATTTTATTTTATGACGTAACTAACGTGCCCTTAACATGTATACAGGTACAATTTATTATTATATTATTGTTGTGCCGCCAATTTTAAATTAAGCGGCACGGCAGTGATTACGTTTTTTATCTATTACGTTACTAGCGTGCCCGTAAAAAATAAATTGCAGGCACTCTAACGTGCACCTAGTCACTTTGTACTTTGTTCTAGGACTAATCACTAAATACAACAAACAATACATTTTGGGGTTAAGTACAACATAAAGCATCAAACCCGTTTACAAAGACAATAGAGTCGCTAACGTCATACTAATTAACTAGAGCAATCATAAAATTGTAACAGTTGCTTTCCCAATCAAATAATTATCATTATTTTTTTACTTATGTTCGAATATGCCATCAATATATTATTTAGTGCAATTATTCAAATAGCAATTTCTACTTATACAATATTATATATATATTTATATATATATTATATTATAATCAAATGAAGTTGACAATAAAAACAATTTACTTTACTTTACTTTTTCGTTAATTTAAGAATTTTGTTAAAAAAAATTGAATAACCTTCATTTATATTTATTGCTATATTACGGAAATGTTGAAAAATTGCAGAATCTAAGTTGCAATTGTATATTTGTTGTTTTTTTTATAAATTAATGTGTATTTTTATATTTATTATAAGTCAAAAATCATAATAACTCTGGAAAAGTTATTGTTGTAGAGAATTATATCGATAGTAAATAAGAAAGTTTAATTTAAATAGCATAATTGGTTAATATTTATCAATTACTTACGTTTTAAGATATAAAAATGGCCGTAAATTCATCAAATATTTGTTAAAAGACTATTTTTTACGATTCAGCTCTTTTTTTTCACTATTTTTAGGGAATTGTTAAAAAAAATTGCAAAAAAAATGTTTATTCAAAAAATTGAACTTTCATGACTCCTACTGGCGAACCACTACGAGTTACACAAAAAAACACAAAGACAATTTTGAAGAGCGTGAAATTCCCTATAAGGTCCATATGTGTTTGTTGTGTACTTCTGTAATTGGGCTTGGTGCCTGTTGAAGGCACATTAAAATATACTAAATAAATAAATAAATATACTAAATAAATAAAACCGATTCACAATATTGTAAAGAGCGGGCGAGCATTGTAAATTTGAAAAAAAAAACATTTTTTTACATGCATTTTAAATGGGAAAACTTTAAATTTAAACTGCAAGTACTTAAAATTGATATTAAGAGCTCTACCTTGGTGAAATTTTTTTTTTCTATAGGTAGATTAATATTTTGCTTGAGCGCCGAGAAAAAAAAAGTTTTTTGCGGAAATGAATCACCCTAATATATATATATATATTATATGTATTATAGAGTTTCCAATCTATTATTTATCTTTGACGTTACCTACGTTTTTTCAGCAACTTCGGTATAGTTCCATACCATGGTTTTAAGTAATTAAAAATGTTTTGTAGATTTATGTATCAGATTTTGTAAAATCAACCAAAGAAGAAGTTCAGAAAAATAAAGTAATCATAAACAATAAAACAAAGTCTTTATATGTGCCATATTTCAAAAAATATGTGAGCTGGCACTTTTTGAATATAATAAAGAAAGTAAAATTTTATATTTAAATTCTTTTTCAATAATTGCTTTGATTAAAAAATTTAAGGAGGGAAATCCGGTACCCAAAATAAGTGTTGTTACTTATGGTTGCAAAAAGTGGAATAAAGAAATACCTGACTGGGAATATATTTGCTATGTAAGTCAGGATTTTAAATTTGCATAGATATTAATCAAACTATACATGGTGTCATGTAATAAGTTGTCATCCCTTGGGGGTTGATAGTTCACGCCAAATTAAGCATGATCTTTCTCTCTAACTTTTGAATTAGTACTACTGTTTTAAATAAAAAAATCATAAAAATTAACGTAATTTATTTGTTTGGCAGCCACTGGATTCATTGCATCAGCAAGTATAATCATCGTTAAAATCATTGACACTAATGCAAAAGTGATAAAGAAAAAACTTGTTAACTTTGGAATCCCCAAAGGGATGACAACTTGTTACATGGCAAGTATTTTTCCGAAGATTTTTGAAGTGCTAAATCAAAATTGCTCCATCACATCAGGTTTTCGAGAAAGTGGAAAAACACGCATCATAAGGTTTTTTCTCTATAGAGAGCAAGTAGCAAGTTTTGTACACGAGTTATGTAGTAAAAGACCCCAAATGTAACAACTTGGTAACTTTTGGGTTAGAATTTCTCAAAAACATGACGGGATGAAGCAGTTCTAAGGTCGGATTCGAATTCAGCGCATCGAAAAGCTTCGATTTTAACAATAGAGTGTTTTATTTTGTGGTAGGTAAATTTAATAAAAACAATTTTTAGGGGAGGCTTAAAAAAAACAACATTATATGTAACTGTAAATCAGCTTCAATTTTCACAGGCCATTATGAGTACAATTACATTTTTAAAGAAATAATGGAAATATTTGATGTTGCACTTGAATTGCAAGTTGAATACATTGTTTTCGCTGTTCTAGTATTTTTGTTTATATTATTTCTCGTGGTTTTGTGGATTATATCAAAAGGAAAGAAAAAACATGTAAAGCATAATTAGTCCCATACATAAATTATTTTGTATTCATTTTGTTACAGATTTTAGATAAAAATATAATTTTCCTGGCAGATATACCCCGCTATTGCAAATTTGCTTACCTAATGGCTGTTTATACTGAAAAGGGATTTAAAAAAGGAACGACATCAAATATAACAATCAAGATTTATGGAGATAAATCCGAAACAAAAGTAATATAGTTTTAATATAAATTTACCTGATTGGTCTAAATTTTTGTACAGCCTAGTCGATAATCAATTACTTTAGTAGTGAGTTTTTATTTCTTATTGTACAAACTGTTTGATCAATCTTCACAAATTGTATTACATACTATTATATAAGAAATAAGGTACAAACCAAAAATAAACAAAATTGATCGACTATATAGTGCTTCAAAAAAAAATTAAAAAAATTTAATTTTGAAAAACAGTATTTTTGCCCACCGTTTACAATAAAATGAATGTTTCTCAACGCGACTATATAGTCGATATATACAGTGTATTTTCAATTTTTTGAGGAAAAGTCATTTTTCATAATTTCTTTAGCTTGTTATATAAATACGATTCGCGTTGAGAAACATTCATTTTATTGTAAACGGTGGGCAAAAATACTGTTTTTCAAAATTAAAATTTTTTAATTTTTTTTTTGAAGCACTAATACAAAGAGTTGGATACTAGGATATTTGATATTGAAAATTTAAGATATTAGTTTTCAAATTTTAACAAATAACTGTAGACATGTCAGTTGAAAGCAACAACCTTGATTTATAATCACAAAATGGGATAGCAGTCAATTTCTACAAAATAAAAGGACCACTCAAGTTAGGACCTCAATTGATTTTATTTTTAATAACAAATATCTTAGTAACAACAACTCACATGAAAAAAACTTTATTTGGCTTTTTGGTTTCTCCTTACAAGCTCTTCATATTAGACCTTAAAAAAAATATTTAACAATTTTTAATTTTGCAAAATCTATAATTGTATTTGTTTGCACACTCTATATAACAAAATAAAAGTTTATCATTGTCAATGGTATTTATATAACAAGCAGAAGAAATTATGAGTGACTTTTCTTCGAAAAATTGAAAATAAATATAAAGGGGTTTATGAAATTCCTTGTAAGAATTGTGACGGAAGCTATGTGGGACAGACCAATAGACGTATCAACGTTCGACGCGAAGGACATCGTAACGCAGTCTTAAAACAAGAAAAAACATCTTCCTTAGCTGAACACTTCCGAAAAACTTTCCATAAAATTGACTTCGAAAAAACAAGGGTCTTGGCTAGCATCGAACACAGTACCAAACGTACCATCCGTGAAGCCATTGAAATAGAAAAACGTCCAAGAAACCTCAACACAAGATACGATACACAGAGACTACCAACTGCATGGAAACCAGCTCTTACAACCACCAAAACGCCACGCAGATTAACGAGGTCAATGGAGCCGAACATAACACAGGTTCAATCGCAGTCACGGTTAATGACGCGGAAAGCTAAAAGGGTATATAAACAACGATCAGCGGCAACGGAGCTCACTCCACGTCTAACTCGCAGCAGAACAGCAACAGCAGCCCAGCAGATAAGACCTGTAGATGGTACATGAGATTGTACCGCAACGACTTCAGACATGCGTTTCTTTTAAGAACCAAACACCGACAACACGGAGCAGATCCCGAAAAACCACTAATATATATATATATATATATATATTAGGGTGCTTTTTTTTCACGACTATTTTTATTTTTTCGCTCCCAACTCAAAATCTTGTTGACAATACAATTCATTAATATTAGAACCAATAAAATGCCAGTATTCCATAGTGACGTATTTTATCACAGCGGCAATAATTTTTATCATCTTGTTTACACGTTACTAAGAATTTTGACACTTTTTTTGATTTAACATCTGTTGTCATTTAAATTCTGTATTTGATATATATCAATAAAATAATGAATTATAAACTCTAAAAGATCGATGGGTTGGTGTAAACGATAATGAAATTAAGGTAAGTTTGAATAAATAAGGTCCGATTAATCGTTCGCTTAAGGTACCGCACCAAACGTTTACCGACCAGGGACGCTGGTGCTCCACTTGGTGTCGAAATGGAATGACGACATTTCGAACATTTGTTATAAATTGTTTTCATAGCCGACTATTGTTGTTAATGTTAATTTTTGTTTTTCAAACGTTTCAAATAATACATTTTACAAGGAAACTCATTTTTCTTAAATTTTGAATTACAGCGCCATCTGTTGATAAATTGAAATTTTTTTTAAATAAAAGTTATTTATTCATTTTTTTATGTACTACCAAACTCTGTGAAAAAAATCGGGTCATTCCATTTGACTTTCCAAAGTTACCCCCCGTTTCACCCTTAAGGAGGGGTAGGGGGTGGCTAGCGGTAGCACCAAATAATGTCCCCTTTAGTCACATTAACCTTTTATTTAAGACATTTTTCCGTTAAATGCGTATTTCTCGAGATATTGAGCTGTCTCAAGTTAAAAGAAACACCCTGTATATCTTAGCCGCATTTTATGCTGTTGGATTGTTTCAAAAAGGATTTACTCGTAATCAAAAGTTCTACAAAAATGCTTTATGTGCCATAGCTGCAGAGCTGTTCCGAGTACAATGAAAAAGTACTCGAGTACTGAATACAAGTACTCTTATATAAAAGTACTCGATTACCAAGTACAAGTACAGTACCGTTGTACTCGAGTACCCATACGAGTACAAAATACCGAGTACACTTTAGTTATGAAATGTTGGGAAAAATGCTAGAGAAATGGGGCAATTAAAAATTAGTGATTAGAATCACTAGTGCAAAACTAAACACTAGCTGGCCTATTGCCTTCACCAAATATTGATATTTCGCTTTATGTTAATTATCAAGGCCGGCTGGTATCTTGTTTTACTTTGCCTTAGCTTTATTTTTTAATTATCTTTTTGGGGAATATTGTCTCCTTATTTCTACCAAAATTACATTTCACACATAAGTAAAAACTTTTTGTTCAATGCTCTTTCCTGTGTCTTTTTATTTATTGATTGAGGCTGTCTTAAGGCTGTCGTGTGAGGCAGGCTGGCTGAGGCTGCCTCAGGCAGCATATCCGTAATTTGACAAGTCTAAGCAGTGTTGCCAACTTTTCAACACCCACGCACATATTTGCACATATGTGTCTACGCCAACCTCACCGCATAAAAATGTACTCATTGCATACTTTGGATGTACTTGAGTACACGTAAAAGTACTCGAGTACACGGGAAAGTACTCGAGTACATTTTTGCAATCTTAAATGTATCGAGTACAAGTATAAGTACATTCAAATTAAAGTACTCGGGACTGAGTACCGAGTACACTGAAAGTACTTAGAGTACAGTGTTTAAGTACTTGTACTCGAGTACCGCACAGCTCTGCATAGCTGTAATCTGCACCTGTAGGATGGTACGGCCCGTACCGTACGGGTCACTAAATCTTATTTTAGTGAAAAATTCTCATATTTTTGAAGATATTTTAAAAATGACTGAATTCTTTGAAAAAATGGAAAGGACAAACTTGTAGAAAATTTAATTTTCTTTAAAAAAAGTCTTATCAGGTGAATCACTAAGATTGATTGATTTTTATAAATGATGATTTTCAATTGTTTATCTACAATTTCATGTAATTACGTTTTTTCTACAGTCGGGTGATTAGAGAAAAATAAATAACTAAAACAATCAAGCATAATTATTAATAAAATAACATGTTGTATGTAATACACCTCGTTATATCAATTTTTAGGTTAGATATATCTTTTCTCTTTAAAGTTTTGTTATTAATAATTATGCTTGATTGTTTGAGTTATTTATTTTTCTCTAATCACCCGAAAGTATAAAAAACGTAATTAGATAAAATTATACTGACAAACAATTGAAAATCATCATTTATAAAAAGTTTGGTACGAAAATCCTAAAAATTTCATAAATTGTCAATGTAAACGCATTATATCTCAACAAATATCAATCTTAGCGATTTAACTGATAGGACCTTTTTTAAAGAAAATTAAATTTTCTACAAGTTTGTTTTTTACATTTTTTCAAAGAATTCGGTCACTTTTGAAATATCTTCAAAAATATGATAATTTTTCACTAAAATAAGATTTAGTGACCCGTACCATCCTACAGGGTGGTTATACTCGAATCGTGCGATGTGGTCATATCGTGAGAAAGTGGGCGGAGCTTGCCGATATCATGTCAAAATATAAAATTTCGTATTCTCCAAAAATGTGACTGATCCCATCCCACAATATCAAGAGAAGGGAACATCGCTTGATCCTTAGTAGGAGAACGCGTCGATCGTGTGAAAAATATAACCTAAAAATATTTCTGGTTATTTATATTTTTTGACACTAGTAATAATTATAATTATAATAAGATGAATTTTGAAGACATTGCGTTGCGTGTAATTGATGATGTTGCTGACGCTGAAGAGCAAGTAGATCGACCTAATAGAGCCTTTTTACCCAGGCAAAATCCATTTTTATTGTCCGACTTGTGATTGATTTACTAAATAAGAAGTTGAACTGTGTGTAAAATATGCACATTTGGCGATATTTATGATAAAAACCGACCTGCAGGTGCAAAGTAACCCCACTATAGGGTATTTACATTTACAAAATACCATAACGTATCAATATAATATATTATATTGTATTTTGCAACAAAATAAACCGAATATAACAAAAACCATAGTAGAAAGACTTACTTAATTGCTTTACCCTGACTAAAACTAAATCTGTGAACAATCACTATCGCACAATCGCAAATAACCTGCAAACACTGCAATTGTCAAAACGAGAAATAAACAAAGTCACGTGCAGAAACCCTATAATACGATTGGTTGGTAGATATGTCAACAGCGCATAGCGTATCGTAGACGAAAGCTCACATCCCATAACTTTGAGAATACACATTTTACGGGTCATGCGATGCTGGTGTGATGTGATCTATCGCTCGAGAGAAGGGATTTCTCACGATCTCGAGTATAGGGCCCCAGGTGGGGTCAAATTGGATGAATGATGACCATAGGAGTGCGAGTGCTACTCGGGGAAAAATCCCCATATTTTTTTAGTGTGTTTTTTTTAACTCTCGATCTTGGAATACAATTCTTCAGATAATTTTACATAAAAAATGTAATACTGTTACAAAGAGAAAAACGCTATTAAAAATGTCTCGCCACAAAAAAATACCAATCCAATTAGGAGGCAATAGTAAAAAAATCAAGTTAGCCTGCTTCGCAAATATCGATATTTTGTTTTAAGAAAAACGGTAAATTACACTTTCCAAGAAATGGCCAATGGTAATAGTCGCAAAGCTCGAAAATTGTACCAAGAAGGATTCCTGGCCCAGGAATCCTGGGTATACCCCCATGTCAACTGACGTTTACCAGTTTACATAAAATTTATTGCGAAACTGGCACTTTTAAAGTAATGCGGGAGAAATGAAACAACTCGAACAGTGGAAAGCGAAGAAATCGTTCTGGAAGTAGTTGCCTCTAATCCTGGGACAAGCGCTAGAAGAATTGCTATGCAAGAGGACGTTCCAAAATAATATACGAACGACTGCTATTCATTCACAGAGAGCTTTTAATCTTCAAGATCTTCCAACTAGACTACAATTTTGTCGCTGGTTAAAAACAAAATGGCATGAAGACCCCAACTTTTTTGAAAAAAGCATTTTTACTGACAAAACCGGATTCAATAGGGATGGAATTTTTAATTTTCATAGTAGTCATGCATGGGCTGATGAAACTTGTATTTTCTCCAAAACGTTTTCATAAACCTCCTTGATGACGTGCCCTACCATTTAAGATTTTCGATGTTTTTGGCCCTCCCCATTTTTCGACGAACGTAAGGACACATTTAGATGAAGATTTCGCCGCCCGATTGATAGAAAGAGGATGGCCAATTCCGTGGCCACCTCGTTCTCCAGATTTAAATACACTCAACTTCTGTGTGAAATGCTTGGTAATCCATAATAAATAAACCGGATTTTTTTTAAAAGATCCATGAAAAAACGGGTTTACTAAAATAAGAATGGTTGAAAATTGGAAATAAATTGCGTTACTGTTGTAGTTCATTTAGTGTGTTTAATAACTAAAATTTATGAATTTTTGTAGCGAGACATTTTTAATAGCGTTTTTTTCGAAAAAGGTTTGCTTCATGGCTTTGTAACAAGAGAAGCTTTTTTACGTAAAATTATCTGGAGAACTGTATTTCAACATCGAGGATTCAAAAAATACCACAAAAAGGTTTTTTCCCCGAGAAGCCCCTATTTCGGACGCCTATGGTAATCATTTATCTGATTTAACACCACCAGATTCTTGCCCAAAAATTACCCAAGAAATAAAGTATCATTATTTTAACACTAACCGTTTCTGAAATAATTAATAAAAACCTGATTTTGCACAAGTTTAAAGTTTAAAATACCTAGATCATCAATTTTTGAAAAAATTTTAAGGAGCATTGTATTAATTATCCTGACCCTGAGAGACACTTCCTTCAAAGCGGTAACGAGGATTGGTTCCTTATTGGCTCCGAAAATTATTTAGGCAAATTAATCAAAATGGAACTTTGGTTTGATAGCATTGGTATGCAACCAACCTGGTATTAAAAAATACTAAAATTTGTTAGACTCGTTACACAGGATATTTGTAGGACATGCAGTCACATAGTAGTCTATGATTTACAGTCTACAGACTATTGGTTGTTCATAGTAAAGAAAAAATTTTCACTTACATCTCTTGAAGAAATGATAGTAACAGTTAAACCTCAACTCGAAGAACCCAAACGGAAAACTAGGAAGGAAAGATTTAAAATGTTCTGGACGGCTTACACCAAGGATCATTTTTGGCTTGTCAAAGTGTAATAAAAAACAATGTATTGCTAAATAATCTTTTTAAAACCTTTTAGATAGATTAAAGTTCTCTGTTTATTTTTAATACTTTAATTTATTTTTAATATTTTAAATTACTTTTTTGACAAAAATGGTTTTAAACATGGTTTAAAAAAATTGAATCGTTTTTTCTATGTAAAATAAAAATTTCTCAGCAATCTAAACAATTGTATTAAGTTGTATTTCGAGATAATCTAAGGAATTTCATATAGAGCGAAAAAACGATATCGCTTTTTTTAAACATCCTATTGGTATGTACTAAAAGTTTGTATTATTTTAGAGAAAAGATTGACGCATATACAGATATCTTTCGCCTGACCACCATATATTCAATAATACTTTCGATCTTAATGATTTCATTGGTACTTTATGGATTACCAACATTTCAGATTAGCGACTCTATTGAAGTTTATGGAGAATATCGCCTAAACGAATGGCTATTTTTGTATGGGTTGATAAGCTCCGTTGTAACGCTGTGTTTTCACTTCCCGCTGGTCTTAGTATACGGGTAACGAAAATCAAATATTTAATCCCGAGGCATTCGCCATAATTGTAACTTTGTTAATTCCATATTTTTCAGGAAATGCCATGCTAATTTTAAGGAATCAAAAAAAACAAAGAATAACAACTTTGGTATTGGATTTTGTTGGTAAATTACCAGGAATTCAAATATTTAACACTTTTGTTTTATTTTTCTAATGGTCATTCCCCGAACAACTTTTTGTCCCTCCCGATAAAATAAAAAAATACATATAAAAAATCAACCAAAATTTATATCGCATTGTTTCACAATTTTAACTTGTTTGATATTTTTTTTATTTTATAGATTTATGTAGGGGCATTTATTTTATTGGTTCTTTATATTATTAAAATGACTTTAAAAATTGTTCATATAACTGAATGATGATCCTTTAGAAACACTAAATAAATATTATTTAGAAAAATTGATCTTTTTAATTTTAGGTTTATTTTAATTACAAACATAATATTTTGCAATACTGCTTTATTAGTATTTGGATTTTATGTGCCTGAAATTACAAGTTTCCTTTGGCTTACCACGGCATTTTTTGGAATTGTATTATACGCCATAATTTTTGAACATATCACCAAATTTGTTTACAGAAAACTGTTTCAACCTACTTTAAACGTAATATAAAAAACAACACTCAATAAAATACATAAAAAAATAACTTCAGGCTTTGAGAGTGCAAGAAAAATTCCAAATAATATTCGAGTTTATCGAAGAACAGAGATTGTTGCTTTATAACCATTTTGGACAACATGGACTAAGGCCCTATTTGGAACACCTTTACAAGCCGTTGAATGACATCGAGTTAATTGTAAGATTTCATTTAAAATTAAAAAATTATTTCAATTAAAATAAATAATCCCTACTGTTTTTTTTAGAAAAGAAAAGAGTTTTCTTATAAAAGATTGCTCGCTATCGAAGCCCTTCAAGATCTTATAATGTTCCTTATTTACATCGTCATATTGTACTTGGTAATTTTGGTGCATAAGGACGATCTAACAGTCTACACCAACAAACAGGTCGAATCTATGTTAAAAGGAGACTATAAGGGCGAAGATACAACGGAAAATAGTCACACACTAAAAAAATATATAAAATTTGTAAATAAGACGCTGCTTAAAGCCATACAGGTAGGGATAAAAACTATAAAATATTTTTTCTGGATATTTTGTTTTATAACAAACAGCTACCTACCTTCATAATTTAGGTAATATCAGGTACGCCACTGCCTTTTACGTATTTAAAATTTGGCTATTAGTACAGTCATCTTAGTTAAAAAAGGGATCAACCTCGGAATCTAACGGAATAAGCTGAATTTTTGTGAAAACCTTTGTTTTAGCTTTGCAAATGTGGTGAGCGGCCTTAGATATTCAACGTCAAAGGTCGCAAAAATCAGTTTCTTGAGAATATCTCGTTTTCTCTGCCTCCTACCGTATTTGCATTTATTATAAAAGTTGTAGAGAATAAAATTTTCTACAAATTTTGATTAAAACATTTTTTTATACGTCGAACCGTTTTTGAGATAGAGGGCGCAGAGTGTGGAGCGCTTAGCCATACGTACCTTTAGCGCAAGGTAAATCGTGAATCCCAATCTATTATACCGTTTTTTTAATTAATTTTTTATTAAATATTACTTAAATATCAATTTAAAACCTTATATTTATTTTTATATATTTTTTAAAATAAAATAGTCATTAAATATTACTTACTTTTGACATACAAATAATTAAATAATGAAGTAAATCATTCTAAATATATCTAAGGCCGCTCACACGTTCGCATATGTAACTTTTGAGACAACATTTGCAATGCTAAAATAAAGGTTTGTACAAAAATTCAGCTTATTCCGTTAGATTCCGAGGTGAAATGCCTAGATGACTGGACCATGGGCGCCGGAAGGAATTCGTCTAGGGGGGGGCCTTAAAGTTTTTTACAATTTTGATAGATGTTATTTATAATCAAGTTGTACTGTAGAAGTTCACATTAAACTTAATTCAAATAAAATATCATCTTTATACAGGGTGTCCCAAAAGTCAACGAGATCCTTTGGAGGACTGATAGACCAACTCATGACAAAGCAGAAAATCAAAATATGACCTTAGTAAAAAATCGTTGGTTTTTGACATTTTATGAATTTTGTAAAACTTGACACTTGACGATTAGTTTTTCGAGTGCCACAGCTACAAAATCTGCTATTAATTTAATTTTGAATTGTAATTAATAGCAGTCCTATTCAGGGTTTTTGTGTCAAGTTTCACAAAATTCATAAAAATGCCAATATCTTAAAAACTAATGATTTTTTACCAAGGTCATGTTTTGATATTCTGATTAGTCATGAGCTGACCTATGAGTCCTTCAAAGGATATCGTTGACTTTTGGGACACCCTGTATGTATATTTGTAAATTTGACACACCATATTAGCGCCATCTGTTTATCAATTCACTAGGCTTATGAAGAAATCTATTTTATAGTCGACTTTTTCAACATATATAGTTCGTATATAGAAATATGTCAGCCAAGAGCGTCTTACTCAGGGATGGGCAAGATCCGGCAAAAAGGATTTAAATCTAAATCCATAAATCCACACCATAAACTGGATCTAAATCCTCAATCATAAATCCATTACGTTATCTGGATTTAAATCCTGAATCCATAAATAAATCCTCTATTTTTTAAATATTTATTTCATTAATTTTCCAAGAACAGTTTCCGGATTATTTCAATTTTTAAGTTTTATTTAAGCTAAAACCCCTTGGATTCCAAATCAAAATTGATATGAACCTTATTGCACGTATATAAGATTCCATCGAAGATCTTTGGAATATGAACATAATGATCTGTGGCTTCTGGTTTCTTCGCCATAGGATTATGAACGGAATCAGTAAACTGTGCTTCTGATTTCTTTGAACAGCCAGGCATTTCATTCATTTTACAACTGTAACAACACTAGTGTTCATTAAGACGGCACAAATCTTAAATTATCTAAGATAACAAATCTAATTTATCTAAAAAATAATGAACAAATGATAACGATCAGCACTTACCGTCAAATTATGGAGTACCGGAATTTCTGGGTATAAATTTCCAGGGGGGGGCCCGGGCCCCCCCCTGCCCCTATGTAGCGGCGCCCATGGACTGGCCTATATCTCCCTTTTTTCAGCTGAAATAAAGGGACGCTTTGGGAGCTATAGCCTCAGTCCCCGCCATTTAAAGGGGCTCCCGACGCAGTGTTTAAAAGTCATATAAATAATACACATTATACAGGTCTTTTATCTCGGTCTAGATAAAATAACAAAAAAACTAAAATATATTTTATCAAAAAACATCCCGAAATATAATTTGTTTTAAAAAGATTATTTATTTTATTACCTCTGTAATAGTGGCCGATAGACCGAAGTTTGCCGACCAGCCGCAGCTACCCGGCTTCTTTGACAGTTGACATGAGTATGAGTATGGGAACGTATGGCAAGGCCCAAAGACATTATCCTCCACTAATCTCCCAGGGTTATTTTACCCCCTTTCCGTTCTCCTGCGTATGTGTTTGTTGGATCCGAAGTTTTTACGCCGGCTGGTAGATCCACCCTAGGAGGTCAACCCAAACCTAAGTACAATCCGGAATCCTCCTCAACCAGGGCTTTAGTAATAACCCCATTCAGTTGGTATTCCTGAATGGGGTAGGTAGGTTAGTTCTTTGCTTACTCCTATCTTTGTTGGTTTACTTTCGGTTCGTCAGTGTGTGTCCGTCTTCGGGTCGTCCGGATGAGTTTATCTTTGTCTGTGTGTAATGTTTTCCCTAGGTGTGCGTTGAAGTCCCCTATAACTATCATTGCCCCTTTTTTGTTGTTTATGTCTATTTGTTTTGTTGAATCGCTGTAAGTTGCGTTTATCTGACGGAATGTGTATGGATATTACGCAAAGTCTCTTTTTGTTGCAGGCTAGGACTATTGTAGCGGTGCTGTCTGAGATTTGGTAGAATTTGTCGTTTGGAGGGCCTTAGATCGTCTTAAGAGTATTGCTACTCCCCGTCGAATCGAATTGTTTTGTCCTCCGCTTAAGTACCAATCGTACGTGTTTGTTTTAGCGCGTCCAGTTGTCATGAGTGTTTCTTGTAATGCTATTATGCTATGGGATAGTGCGTCGTCAATTATTTCCCTCTTGTCTGCTTGCCTATAGCCCCTTACGTTAGTGTGCCTATTTTTACATTGTGTTGTTGTGTACCTACTACCAAAGATAGTATTATCTTTGCCTACTACTGTCTAAACTTGTCGCCCCGTTACCGGTCGATTGTGTTTGCGTGTTTTCCCCGTTGCCACAGGCTCTTATGTTGGTTATTTTTCCTGCCTCTGTTAAGCAAGGCTTGTGTCAATGTTGGCCAGACATGTACTATAATATCGTAGTGATATCTTGTCAGTACGCCCCTGTTCGTGATGTATTTCGATTGCGACGTTAAATATGTCCGATGCTGCTATTATTGTTTCCAATCTCACCCAGAAGCTGTTTTGTGAGTGGTCCTTTAAGTACTCCTCTGTTTTACGTTCCCAGTCGTTAATATGCGCGTAGAGGTGGGGTTGGTCAAGGATCGCATCCTGTAAATATGGTCTGTATATTTCGATGTGTGTTCTTAAGTGGTTATTTAGTCTTTGTCTTAATGCGTATGTACTTCCTATTGTTGACCTAGTCAGGGTATTGTCTAGTTGATGGGCCAAGCTGGCCACTAAGCAGTTTCCGTCGGATGGAATTTTAATTATGCCCACGATCGTATTTATTATTTCCATGTTTGTTATGGTTTGGGTTTATTTATTTATTAGATTGGCGTTTATTTATGGAATTAGTCGAATGTTTATTTGGGGGATGGAGCTAATGTCTTATGTCTGCCTGTTTCTGTTTTGTTTATGTAATGATTTATGGGTTGTCAATCTCTGTAGGAATCTGTTTATTTTCTGGTGCCAGCTGGGGTTCTTGGAAATTATGTTTCGATGTATAATACGTTTTACGTTTCGATTTTTTGGAATAAAATAATTGTTAATAAGACATGCAATTAGAAAAAATACTTAGCTTGATTATTAGTCCATAATCCTGATGCTTTGTCTTTCACAGGCTTTCCGTTGTTCTTTGACCTCGCCTGCAGGTTTTTGGCACGCTTAGATTGTAGCGAAATCTCTGCTGTCCGGGTGGGCCGGTTGGCTTATCGTTGTGGCCTAGCCTTAATTACCTATTCACTTGCACACTTTTACTGCGTTAACCGGGGTCTTCCCGCACTTTTCGCACTTGTTTGTTTATTTACCGATTACCGATATTTCCGGATACTTAGATTTGCTTTTGGTACTTTACTACGTTTGTATCGTATACGCTGCATAGGAGGGATCTCGTTAACTATCGTAGGGATAATATTAAAATAAAAATGATGTTTTATAATTATTTGAATTATTTTTACATGCATGAATTCACAACACAATAATGTATTTTACGCTTGCATTTTTATCACCACTTTCCATTTTAACGCCAAGGCAAAGACTAAATAGAAATAAGAAACTATAAACACACATAGATCTAATTAATAAGCTTTATTTACTATAACATTCCCCGCCCAGTCTTTTACAACGGCTGATAAGCGAGCCACACAGATCTACTGTCTTCCATATACTGTGGTACAAGCCCAACTTTGTGGGCCTCAATGTTTACAAAAATTCGCGTATTATCCCCGCCTTGCAGGGGTGCCGGCGGCACCGTGCAGCGATGGGGGGCATGATGTTGTATCGACAATGTGTGAAGTATATGAAGCGCAAATTTATGGGATTACTATTTCCCTATTATGCGGTCGGGCAATGATTTAAGCGTTTGGAATTAAAGTTGGAAGGGGTGCGCGCTAAATTTAAAGGAAATATTTTAAACTTTAATGGTTATTCTATGTTTTGATACTTTTAATGACTGGAAATTAGTTTTAAAACATTTTATATTTAAATAAGTAATGTATCGAAAATTTCAAATTAAATTATAATTTTAACATGTGAGGCCCGGCCTCAGTTGCTTTATACGATGAGCCGCCACTGCACCTACCTAGGTATCATACACCTCTTCAGTTTAAGTCCAACTCTGCATATACCGATAAGTAAAAGTTTTAGGGACTAGGATTAAATCACTGATTTTGAATAGCTCTCAACTCACTCGCGATCGAAACCTATTTCGATCTGCGAAGTATTAGGCCCAGTTGTATAACAGTTGGTAAACAGCTGGTTAACTCTTGATAATAATTAAGTAATGATTAAGCTAACTTTTAAGTTGTATAAACATTGATTCAAATTTAATTAAGTGATTAACGTACAATCAACAAATCGGTGAATTTTGTGTGGTTAACGACGGGTTAGAACACACATAACCTTATAAATGTCAACGTTTAAAAATTTTCATTATTTTTTTGTTAGTTTTTATCTGTGGTTAGCATTAAAATGGTAGAACATTTAACGGATGATGAAGATTTTTTTTATAATTAGTAGAAATTGTTATTTTTTCTAGAAAACCGAAACTTTCGTGCTAGACCTGAATATTTTACAGATTTAAATATAGAAGAATACAGAAACAGATTTCGTCATTCAAAAAAATTATAACTTTTTGAATTTAAGAAATATCAGCCATAATTTATTTAAGAACTAATACAAAATAAGCGCTTTCTTTTAGGCAAATGATTGAATTAACTTTACGATTTTTGGTAACGCGTTCATTTTGCATTCTACAATGTTTTTATATTTTTTACTACCTATTTAAAGCAATAGCCAAGATTTTTTTCCACTAAATCTTTCATTTTTGACCAACAAGCCTATGCTAAAGCCATTTTTTTGTATATTTTGTACAAAATATTAAAACCTTTACCCAAAAACACAAAACACACCTGCAAGAAGAAATGTAATTAAAGCTACTTACAATTGCACATTAATGTATGCAATAAATAAATAAATACCAATATACTTACTAAAATCTTCCTAAACAACAAAAATTATTAATATTAATTTGAGGAGGACATGGTTAATTTGACAATTACGAAAATTATGACATGACAAATACGAAAATTTGGTGATTTTTTAGTGAATTCCCCTAAATTTGAAAATAAACTAATTAAAACATAACCGAGTGTTGCACAACAAAATTTTCTTTAACCAGCTATTATTGATTAATCCGTAATTTATTAATCTGTTGTTAATCGGACTTTTATACAACTGGGCCTTACTCTCCAGATGAGTTAAATTATACCGCTCTCGTAGTGATTCTATACATTAAGGATTCAATCCCAAAAGTATCAAAACACTTCTACTCTTGTAAAGATATTTTTTAAGTAAAAACTGGCGTAGTTTGTTCCTAAAGGTATGTACTAAGACATGTAAAAACTATTTTGGTATTATCCACACCTAAACCGTATAAAACATTCGATGTACATGCATGTGAACATTCTGAAATTATCCTGAAATTTCAGAATTCAGATTTTTTAGCATCAAATATGTGTTATTTAGGTCCTAATTCGATAGATTTAAGAGCCATTTATTTTTTTTTATCGTCGTAAAATAATTCAGGTCTGAAGGGGTTAAATACCTAAAAGATTTATATTCTAAATGATAACCATAGTTTAGCTACTTTTGAGATTTAATCATTTCAGAGTATTTTATATTATTGCTCATTTAAGATTTAATCCTTTTTGGAACCCAATGATTAAATCAGAGTAAAATTATCAGATGATATAATTAATTAAATACTGGTAATTTATTAATACTAGTTACTTAATAGGGCTAAAAATTTATATTTATTAAATAAATATAAATTTTTAGTCATATTAAATTAATAAATTGTAAAATTATATTAAATTAATTTTATAATTTTATAAAAATACCTTAATATTATTGTTAATTTTTAAAATTATTTTATTGATATATGGTATATATTTATTTAGCAAATTTTATAAAAAAGTAGTATTTATAATAACACTAATGTTACATTATACATTACATTTCTCTATGATTAAACAGTTTAATTTAAACTATATTAATATTATAGTAATAATCATAACAAAAATCATTAAAATGATTTAATAATAACAATTTAAAAACAAAATAATTGCCACCCTATTTATTAATGTTATTATTGCAAATAAACCTAGCAAGATGGGTATCTATAAAAAGGTCTTAATAATTACAATTAAAAAAATTATATTTATTAGGGGGTCCCCTTCTTCCCCGATAATTTATTAAACTTTTTTTCTGAAGAATTAACGTGGCAAGATGGGTATGATGGTGTTAAAAATTACAATTTAAAAAAATATATTAATTACCCCCCTTCTGTCCCCTAATTTATTACATTTGTATATTGCAAAGTTAACATAGCATGATTGGTATCTATAAAAAGGTCTTAATAATTACAATTTAAAAAATTATATTAATTACCCCCTCCCTACCCCCCAGTTTATTAAGTTTCTATATTTTAAAATTAATATGTCAAGATAGGTATTTATAAAAAGGTCTTGATAATTGCAATTAAAAAAAATATATTAATTACCCCCTTCCTCCCCCTAATTTTAATTTTTTTAATTGCAGTTATCAACACCTTTTTATAGATACCCATCTTGAAATGTTAATTTTGCAACATAAAAATTTTAAAAATTAGGGGGAGGAAGGGGGGAGGTAATTAATAATATTTTTTAAATTGTTATTATTAAGACATTTTTGTAATTACCAATATTGTCAGATTAATTTTGCAATATTTTTTTTTTAAATAAGGGGACAGGCAGGGGGTTATTATTATATATTTTTTAAATTAAAAATTTTAAGACCTTTTTATAGATACCCATCTTGACAAGTTAATTTTGAAATATAGAAACTTATTAAATTGGGTGAAAGAGAGGGGGTAAATAATAAAAAAAAATTAATTGCAATTTTTATAGATATAAAAATATCAAAAAATCTATAAAAATGTTTTACTAAAAAGTTCATAATAATCAATAATTATTAATAATAAGTATAATTATTAATTCCCAATTATTAATAACTTTTTAGTAAAAAAATGAAGCCCAAGCGTAAACTTAAGTTTTAAGTTAAAACTCTTAAAAAGATTAAATCCTTACCGATCTCGTTGGGATTTAATCCCAATATGATCTGGTATGATTTAATCACTAAAGCAAAGATTAAATATACTCTTTAGTATATTTAATCTTTGACTAAAGTATCAAAACTTTCTATACATCGGAGATCATAACTCGTGAGCAGATCGAAATTATTTTAAGGCGTTTAAATATCGCTCAGATTAAATCTCGCTGCCGTCAGACGTCAGCCGTCTCGATTGTTCGCATCACCGATTGATTCAAACTGGTTTGACCGAATTTAACTCGCTCAGGGATCGAAACTAAAAATGACTCCTAGTCCCTGAGTAAAACTAATAAAATTGCATGACCTAAATAATATCCAAATACTAAAATTTAATGCGAAATTAAGTAATAACAAACAACTTCACCAGGTAAAAATTATTAATGCATGCATATATTTTCTACTTTATTTAATTTTCTATAATATTTTATGTTTCATTTAGAACAGGTTCTTGAAAAGATTTTCAATAAAAATAGTATATAATAATAACAAAAAATATAACATAACGCCTCCAAAAGGTTGCGCCCCGGGGCTATAGCCCATTTAGCCCTGTGGTTAGGGTAGCCCTGGTTATTATGATTTTAAATAAACATGCGTATATGCGTACGGATATAGTAAATGTCAAAATTATTAAGAAAGTAAAGCAGTAATATATGAATAAAAACAACACTGTTTTAAAGTTGCACTATTTTATTTATGTTTATGTAATAAACTAAAGAAAAAATCGGATATTGTTCCTAATGACCAAATTGAAACTAACTTTTCTTTGCTAAATTTATTTTAGAATGTATTCCTGTAGTACTAAAAGTAAAATAATAATTATTAATATTTTAAAACTATATTAGATAGGACTTCCCAAATCCATAGTTAATTACTCAATTATGTTTTTGTTACCTTACCCGTGTAGGCTGTGGATAAACTGGTTTTATGAAATATTTAATTTAACTACTTATATTATTTTTTCAGAAGAGAATCCAGTGCTCTGTTAAATTTTCTTCCAATATTTCTTAAAGTATTTACAATAATTCCCATAGGCATTCATTTAAGTTCTTATCGATTTTGCCGATAAATGACTGGTAATGGTACATTCTTTAAGAAATGTTGGAAGAAAATTTAAGATTGGATTCCTTAGTAAAAAATAATAGTTTTTTTCAGTTATTGTAGCAGCGAGGCATTTCTTCAATTTCTGTTTAGTACATATTTTATAAGCAAAGATTGGATCGTATGTTATATCACTATAGTTTATACTTGTAGGACCCGACTTGGTACGAAGGCTACACTTCCATCAGAAACGGATTAATGCAAGACAAGAAAAACTCATTTCTGGGCGTTGCGCGATTCAGGCAACATCGCGTGGTGGAAAACGGTTGCAAGGTTTACCCTGCGATGAGGTTTTTGAATTTGAGCTGCGATGCTGAATACCACATAGCACCACAAACTAGCGATTCGGGCGATTCGTGGAAGAAAAAACTGAACTTGTTTCATCGCCTAAGAGACATCTGGAAGTATTCGAAAGATGAAGAGAGCAAAAGTGATGCGACTAGTGGTAATATTAATTATTTGTTTTTTAATTAATATTAACACCTTTTCACATTTTTAACAAATATAATGGTTTATTTTTTGTATAAATATATATATATATATATATATTAGGGTGGTCCTTAATAAGGTTATTTTCAAATTTCTTTGCTCCCAGGGGCTCAAATACTTCCAATTTAATAAAAAAAAAATCCCTGAAAATTTGAGCTCTTAATATTAGATAGTGCGCATTCCAATCTAAGTTTCCTATGGAAATAACATAGGAAAAATTACTTTTGTTGTTTATAATTTTATAACTTGGGAACGAATAAATTAAAAATTATAAATCATACATATTTTTATAGAGAATGTAACGCTCTACAATAAAGGTCTCTTATAATTTTTCCATTAGTCTATTTGTTTAAAAGTTATTCAACATCAAAGTTTAATTTTCATATTATTATTAATATTATGAAGGCTTTTTTATGAGGCGCCGTTTGTGTCAAAATTAAAAGTGCAAAATAAACTTATTTTGTTTTATAAATAATGAATTATATGCTTTACCAAATAATTTTTTTATAAAAAAAATTTTTTTGTAAAAAATTTTATAAAATAATTTTTTATAAAATAATTTTTTTATAATTGTTTTTTTGTAAAAAATTTTATAAAATAATTTTTTTATAAAATTATTTTTTTGTAAAATTATTTTTTTATAAAATTATTTTTTTATAAAATAATTTTTTTTTTAAATAATTTTTTTATAAAATAATTTTCAATTCGAATCAAAAATTATTTAATAAAAGACGACGGGCGCATTTATAAATTAATTTTTACTGCAGCCATCTCTATTTGTTTGTAGACACTCGAGTAAACCCGAGTAAACCCGAACGCCCCTCCCCAGATACAATTTTATGACAGATTGGGCTTTTGTTTTACGCAATTTGGGGAAACGATTGAAAATAATAATTTATTATTTTTATTCATGAATTCATTAATTTTTTTATCCACATTTATTTTGATTTTTAGTTTTTAACAAGAATTCTTTATGTTTAAACGTTTTTTATAAGAAAGCACTTGTTAAAAACTAAAATAAATAAATAAAATAATTCTCTTGAAAACAAATTAAATTAAAAAAATCAATTCTCTTAAAACAAAACTAAAAATCAAAAAAAATAATTTTATAAAAAGAATTATTTCATAAAAAAATAATTTTTTAAAAAATTTATTTAAAAAAAAAATAATTTTATAAAAAAATTATTTTATAAAATTTTTTAGAAAAAAAAAAATTTTAAAAAAATTATTTTATAAAAAAATTATTTGGTAAAGCATATAATTAATTATTTATAAAACAAAATAAGTTTATTTAGCACTTTTAATTTTGACACAAACGGCGCCTCATAAAAAAGCCTTGATAATATTAATAATAATATGAAAATTAAACTATGGCGTTGAATAACTTTTAAACCAATAGACTAATGGAAAAATTATAAGAGACCTTTTTTGTAGAGCGTTAAATTCTCTATAAAAATATGTATGAATTATAATTTTTAATTCATTCGTTCCCGAGTTATAAAATTATAAACAACAAAAGTATTTTTTCCTATGTTATTTTCATAGGAAATTTAGATTGGAATGCGCACTATCTTAGAGTTAATATTAAGAGCTCAAATTTTCAGGGATTTTTTTTTATCAATTTGGAAGTATTTGGGCCCCTGGGAGCAAAGAAATTTAAAAATAACCTTATTAAGGACCACCCTAATATATATATATATATATATATATATATATATAAATTTGTGCTGTATAAAGTAAAAGAACCGTTAACTGCATTTTTTAAACTAAAAAATAAATCTTTGTGTCACCGAAATTTTTGTTTGTCAACGATTTTTTCTCAAAGGTGTTTTTTTTGTTCTTTGCATTTACAAAATAAAAAACTAATGTTTTTTCTCAGGATAACCAGAAAATTATTAAATTATTAAATTTTACTTAAGAAACTAAAATTAGCGTTTAGATAAAACAATGTGTGGGTTGGATTATTTAATGCATAAATGGGTTTAAAATTTAAACTTTAAATATATCTTAAGATTCTTGAGTAAAGAATCAAAATAAAAATATTCTTCTGAAATTATTTTTTTTAGGTAAACTTAATAGTTACCCTAAAGGAGGTTACGTTGCCCCACTCGGAAGAACACTGTCCAATTCATTGGTAAACTGGGAACATATATACAGATACAAATGGATAGACCATTTAACAAGATTGTTAATATTTGAATTTTTATCATATAATGTCAATACAAATTTATTTACCAAAGTTAATATTGAAGCCGAGTTTAGTAGTACTGGATGGGCACTGCTTCATGTGAAAGTAAGTGCTACCGTATAAATAGAACAATAACAAACTTTAGAAACCGAGCCATTTCGATTTGGCTGATTTTTTTTTTATATGTTTCTACCCGACTAAAAATGGTTTACAATTTTGTAAATATTTTTACCCAACCAAAAAGAATTTTTTTAAAATGTTTTTTTTTTCCAAATACCCATAATTTTTTTAAGAATTGACTAAATGTTATATTTGTTTTATTTTTTTTATTTTGAATGTACTTTTCAGAAAAAATACATACATAGGTATTCGTTTTACAAGTGTTGAAAAGCGACTTTTTCATGCGAGTGTTTAAGTTGCTCACGAGGCCGTTAGGCTTTTCTCACAAGTGAAACACAATGTTTTTTCTACGACCCTTTTATTTTTTATTATTTTTAAATTATTTAGACATACATATACAAATAAAATACAAATTTTGAAACGAATGTCAAACGATGCTGTCAATTTATTTTCATACAGACCTGTCACTTTTCACACAGAAATTACATTCGAGTTTTGTCTTGCCAATGAAAAGATTTATTTTCCATTACGAAATGTGACTTTTATATAGTGGTCGTAGAGAATAGTATATTCTGTAACAAGTTTGGAATACAGCATATTCCGCTCGAGTGAAGAGTTTGTCAGACGAGCCGAAGGCGAGTTTGACGGTTTCACGAGAGCGGAATATGCAATTCCAAACGTGTTTTAGACTATACTTTGTTTACGTTTTCAAAAAATACCATAGAAAAATAATTTAATTGAAAGAAAGTGAGGTTGGATCGGTCTATAATTTGTTAGATATTAAAAACAGAGATGTCGCCATGAGTGTTTATTCTGCCATCCGATGATAGAATATTTTATTTTGTGACACTTTACGGAATATAATATATTATGTCATTCCATAGATAAAAGTGATACGGTCAAATTCCGTAATAGGAGTAGAAAAAATAAATTTTCGATGTCAAGTTAGAACTATACAATTTTGTAGGTTTTTTTTGGAAAAATCATCAATTATTCAAGTTTGCCATTTTTAAGTTTTTTATTTACTTTTTATAAAAAAGCTTCGATTTATTCTGGGAGTGGGTCCCAAAGTGGGCTGAGACTTCTTTCTATTTTTTTATTAAAAAAACTTTTTTTTTATTTTTACATAATAAAATTTTTGTGTAATAAAATCAATTTAAGTAGGTACCTTTATAAAATTTGTAAATTTTTTAAACGCCATTTATTTATTGTAAGTAGCAAATAAAATATAATTAAATAAGAAAGAGTGAATTCTGACGTATTTGGTATATAAAGGGTGTATCAATAAGAGCGCAAGATTTGAATTTCGCCTCAGTTTGGCAACCATGATGTCACATGATTAATGAAATGACAGATTGATAGGAGACAGACCCGTCCTGATTGTTAAACTCTATTATCAAAATGATGAAAGTTTGATTGCCACTATTCGTAAAGGGCGTCCGATATTTGGTCGAAATAATGTTCCTAATTCATCTACTGTTAAAAGAATAATCGAAAATTTTGAAAGCACTGCTTCGGTTAGTGATGTGAAACACACGACACGAGCTCGTTCAGAACAAAATATCGCAGCAGTTCGCGAGAGTGTGGCCGAGAGTCCAGAGACGTCGATTTGCCATCGTGCACAAGAATTGGACATTACAAAAGGCACTTTTCAGCGAATTCTTACTTAAGATTTGCATCTTCATGCCTACAAAGTCCAATTGACTTAAGCAACTCCAGCCAAAAGACCATGAACAGCGAAGAGAGTTCACCAATTGGATCCTTGAGCAAGAAGCAAGAAGTGAATGCCGATTTTGCGGACAAAATCATTTTCAGTGATGAGGCCCATTTTCACCACTATTTAACACCCTTGGACTTTTGGCTGTGGGGTTATTTGAAGTCACAAGTTTATGCCAACAAGCCCGCCACCATCGAAGCCTTGAAAGCAGAAATTAGACGCTCTATCAACGAAATACCGCCACATGTATTCAATAATGTTATTGCAAATTTTGCCAAAAGAATACGCTTGTGCCAGTTAAGCCGTGGTGGCCATTTACCAGATGTGTTATTTTATACATAATTTTCAAATGTGTACTTTATAAATCAATAAATATTTCAATGCTTTAATACTTAAAACCATGTTTTACTAAACTTTGAAATCTTGCGCTCTTATTGATACACCCTTTATAATATATACAGTGTGACCAGGGCCGTCTTAAGCACCCGGGCAACCGGGGCGGCCGTTTAAGGGGCAGCCATTTTTTGGGCCTTTATTTTTTCTGCAACCATTACAAAAATCAAAGAAAAACTGCCACTACATGATTTATTTGCCTACAATTTTTTGTATGTTTATAATGAGTTTTTAAATAGAAGTGCGGCTTTCTTAGATTTTAAAAGAAAGCCGCACTCGCGTAATCCTAATCAATATCGTGAGGAAAATATTTTAATTTTTTTTGTTTTTTATTTTCTGCGTACGGACTTGCATTATTTTTTTTAACTAAACTACCATTTGGATCGGATAGGTTGTTTATCCAGCTTTAATTTGTTTTTTTGTAGGCCTTGATACGACCATTTCTCGCTTTAAATGAAAAAGGATCATTTGAATTTAAATTTAAATTGAATTTTTTTTGCAATTATGTGAAAAAAAATCATAACTTTAAATGCCGTTTGGTATAAAGTCCGTACATAGAAAATAAAAAAAACGATATTCATTAGGATTACGCGATACTTCTTGCTTGGAAAAATTTTTCGTCTAAGGCCAAAAAATTAGAGACTTGAAGCTTCAAATTGAGTTTTTTTTAAACTTCGATACGGAGATTTTTAATTTGAAAAATCGCTAAAAATTTGGTATAAATTTTTGATCCTTTAACTTTTTCCACTAGAGTATATATTATAAACAAGTTATGTTGGGTTTTTTCCCAAATTCGTATTTTTAACTTTTGCTTAATTATTAAAGAATTTTTTTTTAAGTTTTTTGTTAGCTTTATTAGCTATTACTTATGTACCTATGTAGTTATATATCGCTACCTTGGTTTAACATGGTTCTATCAGCCATTTTCTCGAAAATGGGATTTTTCCATAAAAAGATTTCTATATTGTACATAGAACCTTTTTATGCAAAAATTTAATTTTTGAGATAATGGCACTGCCATTATTATGGCAGATAGAACCATATTAAACCAAGGTAGCGATATGTAAAATAAAATATTTTATTTATATATATAATGTATTTTTTGTTATGGTTAGTTTTTAAGTTTACTAACATTTTTATTTTTACTTTTTATTAAATGTTTCCAAATATTTGTAGTGTATTTTTTATGGCGGTGTATTTCGAGAGGGCGGCCGTTTCAAGTTTGCCCGGAGCGGCAAAAACCTTAAAGACGGCCCTGAGTGGGACCCATTTGTTTGCGACTCACCCCTGTAAAATTTAAGTGTAAAATATCATAGAAAAATTTACTTAAATTGTACAAACTTTTTATAAGAAAATAAATAAAAAATTGGAAAAAAATTAAAAATAACTTTTCAATTAAAGAAAATATAATTAGCAGCATTATTCGCAGTATTCGCAATAATCAAAGTATTTTTTTATAAAAAAAAAGAAAAAAAATTAAAAATGGCAAACTTTGAAAAATGTATAGTTTTTCTCAAAAACTGAAAAATTTCATAGAATTTGTCATCGAAAACTGTTTTTTTCTGAAAAGAACGAAAAAAGCCCATTTTCCCAAAAGCCCAAATTTCGTAACTGTCGTTGGTTGGGTAAAAAAATTTATAAAAATTCTAAAAAACTTTTATAGTGGAATAGAAAGATAAAAAAATCTGCAAAATCAAAAGGGCTCGGTTTCAAAAGTGGTCGATTTGGCGTGTAATTAGAGATGGGAAAACTATCAATAACTATCGATAGTTATCGATAAGCCGTGGAATCGGTAAATATCGATAGTTTTCTACATTACCGATAAATATCGATCCATTAAAATCATTCCCGACTGAGCCCCAAACCAGTAGAATACTTGATATTTTTAAGATCAAATTATACATATTTTCAAATGTAAATAAATTAAAGGATTGTTTTTTAACGGAATGCGACTGTGTCACGTGGTTTTAATACAAAAAATTTCCATGGGTTTTTCGGATTTTTGTTTTGATTAAAGTTGTCAGTTTAAATTTTCTGCCTCCGAGTAAGGGTGGGGTAAATTACCAATGTATAGTTATCGATACTACCGATTTTTCCCATCTCTACGTGGAATTCCCCTATATAATACAGTATATCCCCGGATGAGGTTACAAAGAGAAAACTTTTTTTCTTACTACATCGACTAAAAATACGTTGTTTCGTCCCCGATTCCACGGCAGAAAGTTTACGTTTCTTGCATTGGTCAAGCTATACGCGCACACTCTTAATAGCGGGAGTAAACATTTTTTAGTCGTGTGCTCAACATATGCAACTCTGATTAGGACACTAATATATCCTCAAAATTTGGGCAGGCATCAATATGTTTCGATATACACATTTAATTTTTTCCCGTATTTTCGGCCGGGTTGTATTTTCGGCCGAGGTCGTAAGAAAAATAGTATACTCTACACGGGCAGAAAGTGTGAAAGCCCTGAACTGCGCAGTGCAGGAATCTCACACTTTCTGCCCTTGTAGTGTAATATACTATTTCTCATCAAATTTTATTATAGATAAAATGTTTTGCTTGATTTCAAACCCCCAGAATTTGAGACTCATCATTTTTATTGTTTATGGTTAATTTTAATTTTTTTATTTTTTTTCTTAATTTTCTTATGGACTCAAAAACTTTTGATCAAAATCATTTTTGGTCAGTTTTCGTTCAATTGTCTTTTCTGAGAAATATCAACTTGTGGTAAAATGGTACGGTAGCATGTTCCTATGCCAATATATGGACGCGTCGCCGCTGGAAAATTAGTAGCATCATTTTTTAAAACTTTTGAACTTGAAAAAAGTAGAAAAGAATTATGATAATAATGATGATGCCGCCACCGTACCTACTTGTATTAATTCATTACGATACACTCCTTTAGAGGATGGAATATCTAAGGAAAATAAAAGAGGGTTATTCAAGCTTCAATTTAGTCAAATGGTTTGACTAAAACCTTGAAAAATGGTCTTTGGATGGGGGATTTTCAATAATCAAGATTTTAAAAGTTACTTGTGTTCCCAGACGAGTCCACAAAATTTTGGTGTAAAGTTACCTAGCATGGTATCATTGGGCTTTATTTTTTTGATGGTATAATAAATTAAAACACCTATCTGGAAATATTGCAGTATTTTTTTAATAATAAAATTGATGATCTCCCTTTAAATTATTACAACATTCCTTTCAATAAGGTGGTTGTCCTGCACACAACGCTCGAATTGTTTGGGAATTGATGGACACAGAGTTCAGAGACAAGTGAATAGAGGAATGGTCCTCATTCTTGGCCTCACACGAATTCCTGATCTTACATAACAATAGTCTGCTAAAGAAAATAACAAATGAACGAAAACTGACCATGATTTTTATTGAAAAATTTCCAGTCTAAAATTAAAATAAAAACAAAATTTCAAATTAACCATGGACAATAAAAATAATGTGTCGCATATTCTGGGGATTTCAAAGACTTTCATCGAGAGTCAAATTTTCTAAGAAATATAAAATATTTTGTTTTCCTCTTTGTTACCCCATCCGTGGACATTATGTATAAATTATGCAAATATATATATATATATATATATCTGAGATCGACACAACAAGGACTGTTCGATCTCGATTCGCGCATATAGAAATCACAAAGTTAGGCAACCTACTCTCTAAAAATATATTAGTCAAAAATGACTAATTGTCATGGCCAATATCTGAAGAAGAAGAAGAAGACTAATTGTCATAGCGAAAAAGCAGCCACTAATAATTCTCGTCAATAGAAATTTGTATCCCAAATATTTAGCAGTCAATTTCCATGTAAAATTGTCCCCTGAATCCGAAAATGTCGTCAAAAGTTAGAAAAATAAAACAGTTTTTGTTTGTGTGAAGTTATCCACACATCTCCAGAAACACATTCCTAAACAGGAAATTTTTAAAATTTGTTATTTTCCCTGTGCCCTGTGCAAAGATGTGTCTAAATAAAACACCCCTTAAATTGTTTTATTTATATGTTAACTTTTGCCCCCTTATCACGAAATTCTTTGCCTGCCCTTACGAACCCCCTATCCACACGTATAAAATAACTTATAAATTTTTAACAAAATAGGCAAATTTACATTGGTCCCGTCCTCTGTTAATGAAATTATAAATGACAATTGTTGTAAACTGTCATAAGGCGAGATAAATAAAATGGTTTAAATCACAATCCACACAACAAGGTCTGTTTGATCTCGTAGTAAAAAATACTAAAAATCACTATAACACTGCACATCATACAATGGCGGCCATTTTTGTTTACAATTCTTGTGCTTTGGGTTTGTACAGATTAATAATCGTTTTAAACGTTGTGTTTCTTACAGAGAGATTTGCAAGCCTTAAAAGAGACCTCAAAGTGGTAAGAACAATTATAAAATCCTCTTTTGTAAAAAATAAACCTTATTCTATCAGGTCTTTCAAATGTCAATTTGAAGGTAAATTTAAGGTTATTTTATAACCCACAACGTTTAAAACGATTATTAATCTGTACAAACCTAAAGCACAAGAATTGTAAACAACAAAAATGCCCGCCATTGTATGATGTGCAATGTTGCAGTGATTTTTAGTATTTTTACTACGAGATCGAACAGACCTTGTTGTGTGGATTGTGGTTTAAATATTGTTTTGATGTTTAATTGACTATAGTCTATATTATAATATAATGTATCATTTTGTTGTTTGTAAAATAAAGAATCTTTTGTTTGCTTTAAACTATAAAAGAATTATTTCAATTAACAGCGGCAAATAAATCAAAGATGGTGGCCGCTAGATGATCACGTACCAGTCCCGATTTTCTTTTGAATTGTAACGAGATCGAACAGACATGTGTGGATTGTGATGCAGATCTGATTCTGTATTAAATATTAATTTCTGTGCTTTTCAGTCTGTAACATCAAAACTATTGTTTCTACCAAGTGATAAAACTGGATTTGTCCAAGTAGTGATCGTCGGATTCCTGACAATGTTGGGAATCTTCGTCTTGAGGATTTTCGTTAGACTCGTGATGAACAGGAAATACCTTTTAAGTGACTTCGATTTATGGTTGCTGGTCGACGTTATCATCATATTTTTGTCGATAGCTATTGTTATTATGATAAAGATCAGAGATAATAAAGTAAAAAGTTTCCTTGATGAACTTGAAAGAACAAAGAACAACGAATTTATCACATACGAATATTTATTTCAAACTGACGATATTGTGACTATGTTGGCCGCGTTTTTAGTATGCGTTTCCACAATACGGCTGTGGAAATTGTTAAGATTCCTGGTAGTTTTTAGAATTATGGAACGTGCAATGGTCCATTCAATTAGTCCAATTTTTTCCTTATTTATATATCATTTAGTATTCGTAACAGCTTTCAGCTTGACTGGTCATATGTTTTTCGGCGATTCAGCAGAGGATTTCAAGGACATGACAAGTACCATGGTAGCTTTGATAATGTACTCGATTGGTAAAAAATATAAAACCTCAAAAAAAAGCATTTTTTTAACGTGGTATCACAATGTTTACTACGCGATTTATATGATTGGCAGCGTAGTGGTTTCCAGTCTGTATATATCTATAATTACTATCTGTTTTAATCAAGCAAAGACCGAGTTTTCTAATATTGATGTGTATACTTTAAAACATTATGTCTACGAATTTGCAACATACGTATACAATTTACTTTGTATCAAAATTAAAAATAAACGTTTGAGAGGAGGCGCTGAAGAAGAGGTTCAATTTATCAGATCCGTATATCCGAAATCTGACGATTGTAGATATGCCGATTGCCTGACAATAAACAAACACAGAATGAAACAGATGGAGTTAGCTGCAAGGTGCATCCTGCGCAACATTAGAGACAACGAAGCACCCCTTTCAGGAAAAGAGATAGACCTGATAAATAACACTATATACACGATGTACTCGAAGGCGCCAAACGATGAAAAAGAAATTTTCTTTCAGGATACATCAGATAATAAACGCTTTAAATTAGTAGACGATTTTAAAATCCAGAAAATGGAAATAGTTTGCTCGAAGATGTTGGATAGCGATGAGCAATGGAAGCTCAAGTATGAAAAGAGGCAGAAGGAACTCTACGAGAAAATTATCATGCACCACGAAAGGCAACTAAACTGGTTGGTGGAATATTTGAACAAAGTATTTACTTATGTGGATAAAATTCAATTATAATAATATTTATGCAGACGAAACGGTATTATTTTGATGCTTTGGAATTTTTTGTTACGTTAGTAAAATAGAAATAGACTCTGTTTGTTTGAAATTTGTACGATGGTTTCATATTTTTGAAAACTTCCTGGACTGACATCATCTAAAATTGTTTATTAACACGACGTTTCAATTGCTAGTAGATCTGCAATTGAAACGTCGTGTTGATGATGTCAATCCAGGAAGTTTCAGAAATAGACTCATTAATTTTTTGTAAACATGTTTTAAATAAATATTGATTTGTTTATATTATATGTTTGTTTGATTGTTTATAATATTGTTTAAAAATAAATCATTGTTTTTTAAGAAATTGCAACGAAAACTAGAAAACAAGTAAATTGTTTTCTCCCGGAAAATTTAAAACGCTTTTAAACGCCCGTAATTATCAGGAGAGCCTGAAATTTAAGAGACAAAATAGAAATTGTACGTCTTGTTGGAGAAATCGTTCGACCAGAGAAGCTGTGATATGTAATATTAAACACTTAGATGGGCAAGTTAGTTAGAGTACTGTACAACGCGTTAATAAAGCTTTCAATAAGAAAGGGTCTGTTTCAAAAAATTTGCTTAGAGCTAGGCATACACGGTTCACCGAACACCGTTTTTAACGAAAAAAATAGAACAACTGCGAAACATAAAAAAAAAAATACTTACCAACTAAAGCTTAATTTTCATGTATCCGTTTGTCCGTCATCCGTATGTCAGTTTTTCAATAAAATCGTCCGATAAGAAATGTTCTAATTTTCATGCATACGTTTTTTAATGACGTTTAACGGATTGATTTTGCGACAAATAGAAATTAAGTGTCAGTATATTCACTTACTAAATTTACCTAATGCTTAATTGTCATAGTTACAATTATGTCAACAATTGTAACTTTAACAGTTAGCTGCAGGGGGGTGAAACTCATATAGGAATATGCGCAACAAGCGCCTCCCGAGCAACGTTGCCATATTTTCTTTTTGTGGCTTAAGTCATCTTTTTTAATAATTATTTTAATTGTCAGTTTTGACATCTGTCAACAATAGAAAGAATATTGATAACGGTAAAGATCTATTTCTAAGCTTTTAAGTATTTTTTGAGTTTTTTCATCTGTATTGCTTTCCCTTGAAGTTACAGTAAGTATATACAATAAATCAGTTGCTTTTATAATGTTTTTTTGGAGATTGACATACCTATTAAATAATTAATTTGTGTGTAATTTATTACGATTAGTTTTTTTTGCAAAAACCAATACTACTTAATAATATTGGGACATTTGCTTTAATAGGGGCTATTGTTGTTTGAAAGTAATTTCCAGCGTACTGATGTCCCTGGTGAAAGAAGTTATTGAAATTTTTACTATTGTTAAAAAATGTAATGCATTAATGGACATCAAAATTTTTTTAATACAAGTATGTTTTTTTAGGGCCAAAACCGATGCAGGAGGAAAGTTTTATACCTTCTTTCACTTCTGAACCCATTCAAAATACAGATGCACTGTTTGTATATTCTTTAATTTATTTTATTGTTAAAATTAGTGTATTATAACCATTTACTTTTTAAAATAAATAAATCTTTGCAACTATTTTATTTTATTGGTCAAATTTAAATAAATTAATATTATAATTATTAATATATACAAAATAGATAAAGCCGGCCCTGTATTATAAAAGTTAATAAAATATTTGGAGTACGGCCCTAATTGGCAGGCGTTTATGAGTCATAAATTACACACAGTGGTCGCCCTTCTTATATTCTTTTTCTATGGTTAGCTGTCTAATAAATTGAGGAGCATGCGCAAAAAACCAGCTATATCCATTTTAATAAAATGTTGTGAAAATGGCAAAAACTCCCGTTTCCTGGCATTTACAGATAAAAAATGCATCTCAAGTTTTGTGCCCAAACAAATGCCCCTTGAGTTTTGTGCCCACAAAACTCAAGATGCATTTTTTTATCTGTAAAGGCCAGGAAACGGAGGTTTTTGCCATTTTCACAACATTTTATTAAAATGGATATAGCTGGTTTTGCGCGCATGCTCCTCAATTTAAAGGTAGGTAAATATACCTCATAAAAAGAATATACTAGCCCTAATATACATTAAAATGTATAGTTTTAAAAACTGCGTCCTTTTAGTTCTAGTTTTAATTTTTTTGTTTGTCCTTTCTTTTTTCCGATATTCTTATTAAATAAAAACTTAACAGTAAAACATTATTCAAATAACGAACGTAATATTTTCGTTTTACAATTTTATTGAAAAAATATAAAAATATTTGAAAATAAATTATCTTAAAATAACGTTAGGCGTCAAAAACAGATGTTTAGTGACGGATGAGTTAAAATTATTTAACCTTTCTCTGTCAGACGTACGAAGTTGAAACTTGACGGACCGATAAAATGTCATAATTTTCGAATTATAATTGGACCAATAAGAGCGCTCCCGGATGAACGGACTGACGGACAAACGGATACATGAAAATTAAGCTTAAGTATTCAAAAAAAAGTAAAATAAAAATCTTCCATGTAGATCTGTCAAAAATTTTGTCAAAAAACTTTTTTTTTAATACTTTCAGTTTTTTGGGTTGCTATATTTAAAATATGAATTATAATTTGCATATAAATAAAATGCATGAAAAAGAAACTTTTTCTTTCTTAGTATTTTATAATTTTGTCGATAATATATCAATTTTTTATTGAAATATGTTTGTATAGTTTAGACCACTGATATTTTACCTAAAAACACTATTTTTTTTTGTTAAAAGTAGCCGCCAACTATAAGTGAGATTCGTATTAAAACTAATCCTCTTTTGCCTCGTATACCGACTATTGAACATGCCTGGGTTTACAATTTGTTGCTTCGATTTTTATCTTGCCGCTGAATACAAAATATTATTTTTAATTCTGTGGTTAAAACTTGTAAATTGCGCCCGAATTTGCTTCGAGTTTTTATCGATGTTTTTTACAAGTAGAGGTTTTTGTTTGAGTTTAAATGTTCAAAATGTCCCAGTTTTGTTCTTTATTCCACCACCAGAACTTCACCTTATGCTGGGCATTGTACAAAAACTTTTTGATTCCCTAAACAGCAAATATCCAGAATTTGGGAGGCATGGGTGAAAAGTGCTGGAATCTGCTTTGACCATTATGGCAAATTTAATGGCAATAATGCACGAAAACTACTAATGTCGATTGCTGTATTAAAAACTTTGTCATAAGCTTTGCTTTGTTTGGATGTTTTCTACCTACTGATTTATAATTCCTCTTTTAGACAATGAATATATACCCGTATTTGAGGCGTTCAATCAAGTAGTTTCTGGCTGCTTTGGCCAAAACTTAGCAGATGAATATAAAGACTACATAAAAGAATTTAAACTACAATCATCAAAAGCTGGAATAACATGTACACCAAAGATCCATGCTCTCGTTTATCATGTTCCTCAATTTATTGAAGAAACGCAAATAGTTCTTGGTTTCTTCTCAGAGCAAGCATCGGAGCAAGTTCATCATTCATTCAATATATTTTCCAGGAATTTTAATTTATCCAGAAATAACTTAGAAAAATATAATATGAACTTGGTTCGATGTCTTTGTGCATACAATAGTCAACATCTGTAGGCTTAGATTTATTTTGTTGTTAATGTTTATCAATTTTTACGTTTATAATTTCAGAAGAATAAAGTTTGAGTTTCCTACTATCGTATGAGTCTTTCAAATTAAAAATATTCTACAAATATTAACTTTGAGACAGTTAAAATATTATCAATATACGATACTACACATAAATTACGAAGAATTGATCGCTATTCTCCAAGATCTACATGGGAGAAATTCATTTTACTTTTTTTTGAATACTTAGTTGGTAAGTATTTTTTTTAAAAATGTTTCAAAGTTGTTCTATTTTTTTCGTTAAAAACGGTGTTCGGGGAACCGTGCATAATGAACGTCGCCGACAGGTATTTTGACCTAAAACGAGGACAAAAATATTTGGGCACTTTATCTGTAACAAAAGGGTAGCAAATGACTAAAAAACATATTTCTAAAGAAAGGTATATAAGTAATAGTAGGTATTTTTACTAGAAATAAAAAAAATACCTATATGTAATTAAAATAGTATATTATGTAGCAAGTTTTATCAACGCCATTTTAGTTACAAGTTTTATTAGGCACAAGCGATGCTTGCAAGCGAGTATTTAATAATAATAATAATAATAATATCTTTATTTAACCACATTACATTAAAAAATATTTATGGCAAGTCAAAGTACAGAAGTAACATATAAAAATACAATATAAAAATACAAAAATACAATATAAAATATAAAAATACAAAAAATATAAATATATATATATATATAAAATATAAATATAAAAATACAATATAAAAATACAAAAATACAAAAGAACATGATAAAATATAACATTTTATAAATATTTATATAATGTTAGAATTAAGATCTGGAGTCTCCATATACTCGTTTATTGAGTAGAAAGCCCTGCCTACCACATACCTTCCTATCCGGTTCTTAAAATTTTTTATTGTTAATTTTTTTATTTGCAGTGGTAGCTTGTTATATAGGTTAATATCCAAACTATTCAACTTGCTTTTCTCGAGTCGTAGAAAGGGGGGCCTGATTAGGTTTGCAGTTCTGGTATTGTGATAGTGGATATTAGATTGGGTTAAAAATTTATGTCTATTTGTGTGGGTCTCAACCAAACTATGGTAAATATAGAGAGAAGGTAGAGTCATGATATGGAGCTCCTGAAAAAGAGGACGGCAGTGAGTGGCAGGAGGTAATAAAAACAAGTGTCTAGATAAGTTTATAAAACGAGTTTCATACTATACTTTATCTACGACAAACACAGAAGAATTAAGAGCCAATTTTATTTGTTTTATATTTGACATCTGTCAAATGTCAACGGAATTAACCTCGATTTTTTTAAATTTATAATAATGCTAACTTCAGCCCGTGACTAAAATGCCCAAAAGCCAT